GTAGAACTACCGCTCAGGGTTTTCTAGGCTGTAATCTTCATGGGAGCAGATCACCAGGTCTTTCTCCCACAGAGCCTTTGAGTGTGGTCAGATTGCCAACTGTTAGTTAGCAGCTAAGCACTTAATCATTTGTGCCACCAAGGCCCCTAGGAATGGAAATTTCTGGCTCATAGAGGAATTATATGTTTACTTTTTTGAGGAACCAGCCAACTGTTTTCCAGGGAGGCTGCATCATTTTACAATCCCACCTACAATTTCTCCACATTCTCCCCAACTCTTGTTGTTATTTTTCTGATAGTAGCCATTTTAGTAGGAGTGAGGTGGTATCTCATTGTGGTTTTGATTTGCATTTCCCTAGTGACTAATGACATGGATTATCTTTTCATGTGTTTATTCGCCATTTGCATATCTTCTCTGGTGAAATATGTGTTTAAATTTTTAGCTCATTTTTAAAATGATTTGTTTGTTTTTATGTTGCTGAGTGGTAAACCCATTGCTGTTGAGTAGTTTCCAACTCATAGCGACCTTATAGGACAGAGTAGAACTGCCCCATAGGGTTTCCAAGGAATGGCTGGTGGATTTGAACTGCCAACATTTTGGTTCACAGCCAAGCTCTTAACCACCGGGCCACCATGGTTTCTTGTTGAGTGGTAGGAGGTTTTTATATATTCTGGATACTAAGCCCTTATCAGATATATGATTCTCAAATATTATCTCCCATTCTGTGGGTTTTTTCTTCACTTTGTTGATAAAGTCATTTGATGCGCAAGATTTTTAATTTATGTCCAGGCATGGACCAGTAACTTGAAATTTACCACCAAAATTGGAGCCAGTATGACTGAAGTTTATTAGGGAGACTTACATACAAAGCCAAATCCTGAGCAGCTGCAGGATCAAAGCAAATCTCTGTGCCCGTTAGTGGGAGGGCATAGGTTTTATAGTGGTGGTGAACAATAATGCCTACAAGCCAGGGGCTTACATAAGAATGACTCAGCAAATGATAGTGAATTAGCGGACCACATGAGGGTGCTCATTGTCGACCTCTCAAAGCCTCTTTACCCTTCAGTGCACACTCCGAGGCTAGCTCTAACATTCTCTCTCTGGTGCCATAGCACGAGAGACTGCGTTCCCTCCCTGTCAGGAACAGATATAGAAGTGGGGTTGGCCAGGTGCTGTATGGTGCCCGCACATGTGCAGGAGACATAGAAAGTTACCGTGTTCCCATACAGGGGGAAGCCTTCTCTGGTAAGAAGGAACTGGGAAAAAGGAGGAGACCCAATTTTCAGTCCCCTTTTGAAAGAATATTCTGGGCCCAAGGACTTTACTTAGGTAGCCTGGATGTGAGGTGCAGAGGCAGACCATTCACCCAACAGTCCATCTGCCGACTTGCATCAGAGTGACAGAAAAAGAAGCAAAGCAGTACGAAGTCCTGGTATGCCCATCACCCATTTTGGATGTTGAGCTGCATGTCCATTATTTGGTGCATAACTCTAGTAAATGCTGTATCTGTGCATCATTTGAGGCAGTATTTAATGAGCGTTACTAGTAGGACTGTCCCCAGCAAATTGATCAGGATTGCTTGGAAGAGAGATCCCAACTAGTCACCCCCGTTGTGGCTTAATCCAAGCCATGTGAATAGTTCTAAGTGCTGTATTTGTCCAATCTTACGTGTGTAGAGCATGTTCTGTTTCACTTATCTAAAAACAACATATTTCTCCCAACATGGCACATTATATAAACAGTATACGTTTCACTACAAGTAATGCAAAAGCTCCCTTTTTCAGCACAATTGGACAAGGTATTACCATTGCCAGACCAGCTAATTCAGACTTGGTGTAGTCAATGTACATTGGACCACCTGGTCATATTATGCAAGTTCTCCACATCCAGTATAAGTCACCTCAGTCTTAGAAGTAGTCAAACCATCCACAGTCTTGTGCTCTTTGCATTTTTAACACACAAAGAATTTTTTTTCTAAAGTTGGAGCAGTATCCACAGGCAGCCTTCATATTTCAAACGGTATTGTCCACGAGTAATGGAGTCGACCATGTTTATTTACCACGTGATCTCCTTAGTACACCAGGTTACACATTAATTTGGCCCATGAGGTGTCCTCCAGAGTATGGGGCTACCTTTCATGAGTTCCAGTGGGATGGGGCCGAATCAGCTGTCCAAAGCTGAGGGGACAGGGCTGCCATGCCCAAGGGACAGAAGAACAGGGCCTGCCACGGCCGAGGGTGTGAGGTTACCACTTAGATGGACTAGGGGAATGGGGCCACCCAGATGTGAGGGAACAGAATTGCTGTTTCAGTGGGCCTGGAAGGCAGAGCTGAATCTCAGGGCCTAGGAGCCTCTACCCAGAATCTGGAGAGTGGCCAACACCAAGAGTCTGCAGGGCCAGGTCATTACCTAGATGGTTTCAGAAAACTGAGGATTATTTTCAAGCCTTGAGAGCTAATGTGATGTGTTCTGCTGACTTGCTTGGTGTCTGTTATCCCTTCTTTCCAGTTTCTCCCATTTCTAATGGAAATGTGTATCTTGTACCTGTTCTACCATTGTACTTTGGAAGCAGATAACTTATATTCTAGATTTCACAGATAAAGAAGAATTTTGCCCCAGAATGGAATTTGGACTTGGAGTTGATTTAAGACTTTTGGCATGATATGATGGGATAAATGTGTTTTACATGTGGCAAGGACATGAAGTTTGGGGAACCAAAGGGTGGAAGGTTATAGATTGAATTGTTTCCCAAAAAATGTGTGTCAACTTGACTAGGCCATGATTCCCAGTATTGCCTGGTTGTCCACCATTTTGTGATCTGATGTGATTATCCTATGTGTTGTATATTCTAACCTCTATGATTAGATTGCATCTTGAGTCAGTCTGAGATATAAAAGACAGAATCAAGCAGAGACGAGAGAGACCTCATACCACTAATAAAGAAGAGCCAGTAGTAGAGTGCATCCTTTGGACCTGGGGTCCCTGCACTGAGAAGCTTATAGACCAATGGAAGATTGATGACAAGGGCCTTCCCCTAGAGCTGACAGAGAAAACTTTCTCCTGAAGCTGACACCCTAAATTTGGACTTCTAGCCTCCTAGACTGTGATAGAATAAATTTGTTTGTTAAAGCCATCCACTTGTGGAATTTCTGTTATAACAGCACTAGATAACTAAGACACTTGTAATAAAAGGACCTAACCAAAGAGTCAGGTTAGAGTGCTTGGAAGGAAAAATTACTTAAGCGAAGATCAGAAAATTAAATTTAGCTTCATACATGGTTAACAGGGATGATAGCATGTAGAATGGGTGGGGATGGAAAGTGTGTTTCCATTAGAATGAAATGAATATATAAATCCCTGAGGCAGCAGAGAACCCCTTATCATCCATTCCTTGATGAAAATCAGAGATGATACCAAAAAAAACAAACCTGTTGCTGTCGAGTCAATTCCAACTCATAGTGACCCTACAAGACAAAGAAGAACTGCCCCATATGGTTTCTAAGGAGTGGCTGGTGGATTTGAACTGCCGACTTTTTGGTTAGCAGCTGAGCTCTTAACCACTGTGCCTTGATAACTCCGTCAGAGATGATAGAAGCAGAGAAAACAACGTGGGTTGTGGGACTGTTGTCATGAGCCAGATTGGAAGAACCAATGGCAGCAGGATGTTTAGAACCATACTGACTACTCTAGGCTTTTTGAAGGCCAGTGGACAGCCACTGATGGGCATGGAACAGGGATGGGTGTGAGTATATTTGTGATTTAAAACAGAACACTCCAGTTCCTTGCTGCAAGTAGATTTTGGAAATGATAACCATGATTGAATGATGTCAGCCAGAAGCTTGTTATGAGCAAGTTAAGGAAGACTATGAGGTAGCCTAGACGTGGAGATTGGTTGTGGGTCAGGAACATAGTGGAACGATATAATGTAGATAGCTGAAAAGGCATCAGTTGATAGAATGCTTATTCCTTGAGTTGCAGGCTAAAAAGCAGTGAATGCTTCTTGAACTTGAATGTTGGTGTGGATAACCTGGGGATCTTGTTAAAATGCAGATTTTGATTCAGTAGGTCAGGGATGGACTTGAGATTCTACATACCAGAGATGTTCCTAATTTATACTGAAAATAAGTGTAGAAATAAAGATATGAATTAAAATTGGAGAGCGCTATTAGAGAAAATAATGAAAGAGAGAGATAGAGAACATTTACACTGAGACTACGAAATAGAGTAGGAGTCACCTGAGTGGGAAAGTGTGTGGAAAGAAACAGAAACAGATGCAGGAGAGTGCTCCTTAGAGAAAACCTAATGATTTTTTCATGTATTAGTTGATTATAACATTGAAAGAAAGTATTCAGTAATCCTCCCAGACTTCTCAGAAGCTTAGGGACTGGTGGTGTCATGGTCTGAGAGCGAAGGGAAAACAAAACTCAAGGGGAAGAAAGAAATGTTAAATGCAAATCAGCAGGAAAAGTACTGATCACATATTGCGATGCTGGAAATGAAAAAAAAAAATTTTTAGCACAACAGAATGGTTTTAACTGTACTTAAAGTCAATGAAGCATGGTGAGTTCATTGACCAAACTTGAAAAATATATTCTTCCTGAAGGTTCACCCATGTAGATATCAAATAAAAGTGTACGTGTTGATCTACTAAGGGCAAAATTACATAGGTGAACCCACAACCTCAGCTTTGGACCCCTGACTCCCTGGAGGAAATCAGGTTGAAGATTTCCAGACTTTCCATGCCTGGATGCTTCTCATGCTCTGCTATGAGGAATTCTTCCATCTGTGATGTTGCCATAAGTAAGAGGCCTGTGGAGCTGTGTGAAGAATGCAAGTGTGTGCCCTGGAAGGCTGGAGGCAGATCTGCCTTAAATGCAGATGCACTAATAGTGGAACATTGCCTTGAGCCTGAGAGGTAGCCCTTCCCAGGGAAAGAGCTGAGGGCCAAGAACTCTTTCCTTGCTCAACACTTTCTTCCCCCCATCCTTCTTCCATTTCAGGTCCCAGGTGTGACACAGGAAGAACTAGTCCAGTCTAGGCAGCTGGGGACCTCCGGTGACCATCTTCCCCATTCAAAAATCACAAGTAAGGGTTTCAACTGCTCTGACTGGTGTGTGGACCAAACATTATTCTTCTGCCTCCAAACTTCCTAGCAGCTCAGCTTCCCATCCCTCGTATTGAAGTGGCTTCTTGGGCTCAGGGAGGACATTCATTTAGACTTCCAGAAGCTGGAGCAAGGACATGGTGAGTACTACGGAGAGCTGGGTTATTCTTGCCATAAGGGAGTGGAGCTGGGTGTGAATTGTTAGGGTACAAGCTATGTGGTCTCGCCCCTGTGGTTCCTCAGTGAGGTAAAAAGGTGGCAAGGACATCACACGAATAGATATATGCACACCCGTGTTCATTTCAACACTGTTCACAATAGCGAAAAGATGGAAACAACCTAGGTGTGCCCATCAGCAGACGAATGGATAAACAAATTATGGTACATTCACACAATGGAATACTACGCAATGGTAAAGAACAATGATGAAGCTGTGAAATGTAACATGGAGGAATCAGGAAGGCATTATGCTGAGTGAATTTAGTTAGTCTAGAAAGGACAAATATTGTATAAGACCACTGTTACAAGAAGGAGCGCAAGAAAATGTTTAGACACAGAAGAAAACATTCCTTGATGGTTTATGGGGGTAAGGAGGGAGGGAGAGGGGTGTTCGCTAGCTAGATAGTAGACAAGAATTAGGTGAAGGGAAGGACAACACACACTACAGGGGAAAGTAGCACAACTGGACTACACCAAAGCTAAGAAGTTTTCTGAATACACCCAAACACTTTGAGGGACAGAGTAGCAGTGATGGGGGTCTGGGGACCATGGTTTCAGGGCACATCTAAGTCAATTGGCATGACAAGGTTTATTAAGAAAACGTTCTGCATTTCACTTTGGTGAGTGGCATCTGGCATCTTAAAAGCTAGTGAGTGGCCATCTAAGGTGCAACAATTGGTCCTAACCCACCTGGAGCAAAGAAGAATGAAGCACACCAAAGACACAAGGAAAGTATTAGCCCAAGAGACAGGGCCACATAAACAAGAGACTCCCTCAGCCTGAGATCAGAAGAACTAAATGGTGCCCAGCTACCACCAATGAGCACTCTGACAGGGAACACAACAGAGAATCCCTGATGGAGCAGGAGAAAAGTGGGGTACAGAGCTCAGATTCTAGCAAAAAGACCAGACTTAATGGTTTGAGACTGGAGGGACCCTGGAAGACATAGCCCCCAGACTCTCTGTCAACTCAGATCTAAAACCATTCCCGAGGCCAACTCTTCAGACAGAGATTGGACTGGACTATGGGGTATAAAATGATACTCGTGAAGAGGGTGCTTCTTAGATCAAGTAGATACATAAGACTAAATGGGCAGCTCCTGTCCAGAGGCGAGATGAAACAGCAGAGTGTCAGGAGCTGGTTGAATGGACACGGGAAATTCGGGGTGGAAAGGAGAAGTGTGCTGTCACAGTATAGGGAGAGCAACAACTAGTGTCACATAACAGTGTATGTATAAATTTTTGTATGAGAGACTAACCTGAATTGTAAACTTCCACTTAAAGCACAACAATAAAAAAATGGCATGGAGGCTGAAGGACTGGCCCTGGGAGGCATCCTAAGCCCTACTCCAGTGTCACTGGCACCTTCCTCTGTGGTTTTCTTTCAAGCATTGGATGCCTGGGGTAACCTTCCTTATGTGACTCTTGGAGCTGGCACCATGGGCAGTAACATCACTACCCTGGGCCTTGGTGCTTTGTGTTAATGAGAAGATCTCCTGACCAGAGCCTGCAAATGGAGCAGCTCTCGCTGAGGAGGCTGAGCTCCAGGCCCTCTCGGGCCATCCTTGACCCATCACTAAAAAACTGTTCTTGGATTCACTAGGCATTGCAGGCTTTTTGGTGCAGTTTTAAGACTATAGCTCTAGCTCTCACACTGTGCGATGGGTAAAGAAGGGAGAGGGAGTTCGTAGGGGTAGGTCCTGACTCTTTTTATGGGGGCCTGAGTGGGATTTGGTGCTCTGATACCATTGTCACCAAAAGAATGACACAGGAGACAGTGAGTCCAGCTGGATTCTGTGTGGGGTCTCCAGACTCATCCCTTTTCCAGTGGGAAATTCTTTAGCCTTGAGCTTCTCGGGTGTATGAGAACCATGAAATCCTGATCTAGGTCTTTGTTCTCCCACCTGCCTATACCTAGCCAAAAAACCAAACCAAACCCATTGCTGTCGAATCGATTCAAACTCATAGCGACCCTGTAAGGACAGAGTGGAACTGCTCCATAGGGTTTCCAAGGCTGTAATCTTTACAGAAGCTGACTGCCATATCTTTCTCCCACAGAGCAGCTGGTGGGTTTGAACGGCCAACCTTTCAGTTAGCAGCCGAGTGCTTTAAACACTTTGCTACCTTGGCTCCATGTACCTAGATCTGGTATTAAATCCCTATAATTTTTAACTGCTCACCACAGTCTTGAATTAGAATCTAAAATTATTCTTTCTTGCCAGAGAATCTCAACATACAAGATGTGTGTATTTAAGTTCTTGGGTTTACATTTTCCACCAATGGATGAAAATTTCTAGATCAATTGTGAGTTTCTACTGAGACTTTTTCAATTTCATGGGCATAAAACTTCTTAAACACACCGGAATGTCTGTTTCAACTAATGTAAATGTTATCCTAAATCTCACTTAAATCTGATTGAGAAGGTTTTTAAAGACTCCTGTTACATTTAACAAGTCACAACAGAACCCCTAATGTGTTAAATATTTTAGCCATTTTAGAAACATCCTCCCAACTAAGATAAAATAGATGTACAGACTCTTTTATCCATGGTCACTGTGTTTGGAAAGAGAGCTCTAATTTACATTTTTACCATTTGCACAAATGTAGTGTTAGACCATTTAATAATAAACCGAATGATTAAATTTAAATGGTTTTGTAATTGCAAATGGCAATTTTTATTGACATTAAATATATAATTTAATTTCTGTCATACTTAAAAGTAGTTTAGTGTACTAAATTATATTTTTACAATAGATAACATCTTCAAAGTTCAAAATTCAGTATAAACTTTAAAAGTATGCTTTATGAAGACTTGTTCCTACTCTTGTCCTCATCCAGCCTATTCCTCTTCCACCAACTACCTTTAGATAAAAGTTTATTGCTTGCCGAGGTATTTTGCCAGTGTGTATATAAAAGCAAGCAAATATACATAGACATTTTTATTTACCCAACTTTGTTACACAACAGATATCATGGATTATCCCGGAGATCTTTTTATAACAATAGTGGCCCCAAGTGTGCAGACTACCACTGCACTCCAGATGGTTTTCAAGGCTGTGATCTTTCGGAAGGAGAATGCCAGGCCTTTCTTTTTAAGGTGCCTGTGGTTGGGTTTCAACCGCCAACCTTTTGGTTAGTAGTCCAGCTCTTAACCGTGTGCACTATCAGGGCCTCCTTTCATAACAAAACAATATAAAAATTAAAAAAAAACCAAAACTCGAGTCATTTGTGACTCATGGTGACCCCATGTGTTACACAGTATAACTGAACTCCATAAGATTTTCTTGACCTTAATCTTTAGGGAAGCAGATTTCCAGGCCTTTCTTTCACTGCATTACTGGGTGAGTTCAAACACCCAACCTTTTGGTTAGTAGTCCAGGGTAAAATATTTCTGCCACCCAGGGACCGTCTGAAAGTACATGTTGTTCTTAGGTGCCGTCGACTCAGATCCAACCCATGGTGACCCTGTGTGTGACAGAACGAATCACTGCCTGGTCCTGTGCCATCCTCACAATAATTATTATGTTTGAGCCCATTGTTGCAGCCACTGTGTCATTCCATCTTCCGGAGGGTCTTCCTCTTTTTCGCTGACCCTCTACCAAGCATGATGTCCTTCTTCAGTTACTGATCCCTCCTGATAACGTCCAAAATACGTGAGACGTAGTCTCGCCACCTTTGCTTCTGCAGAGAATGCTGGTTGTACTTCTTTCAAGGCATATTTTTTCATTCTATTGGCAGTCCATGGTATATTCAATCTTTGCCAACACCACAATTCAAAGGCATCAATTCTTCTTTGGTCTTCCTTATTCATTGTCCAGCCTTTGCATGCATATGAGGCAGTTGAAAACACCATGGCTTGGGTCAGGCGCACCTTAGCCTTCAAGGTGACGTCTTTGCTTTTGATCACTTTAAAGGTCTTTGCAGAAGTTTTGTCGAATGCAATGCATCATTATATTCCTTTGAGTGCTGCTTCCATGGATGTTGATAGTGGATCCAAGTAAAATGAAATCCATGACAGCCTCAACGTTTTCTCCGTTTATCATGATGTTGCTTATTGGCCCAGTTGTGAGGATTTTTGTTTTCTTTATGTTGAGGTGTAATCCATACTGAAGGCTGTGGTCTTTGATCT